GGGATACTGCAGGTCTCAGTGGCATATTTAAAAGAAAGCTTCCAGATCTTTTCAAGCGCAATAGCGCTTTTATTCTTTCCCCTCTCTCATGCACAGGATGATTAATACAAGCAGAGGAATTAGAAAGATTAGCGGAGTGTTTTATGCAGAGGCATTCAGCCTCTCTGCTTCACGGCTAAGCCTCCTGTGAGACAGGAGGTGAGTATTAAAAGCCTGGGTGGTCTGGTATCACATCTCTACATACTACATGCACACGGCCAGGGGAAAAAAAGGTGAGATTAAGTGAGAAGGTCGCCTTTATTAATAACTGACTAAGCATGAAAATTCTCTTCAATAATCTGCACAATTTCACAAAACCTTTTCCCAGAATAAGGAAGCTATCTCGACAGGAATACCAACAAGTAAAGACTCCCTTTCATGTGGAAGAATCCGGACAAACGCACACATACCATCATGAATGTCTCCATTTCTCTTCTCCTGCATGGCGATTTCAAAGCTACTGTGCAAGATCTTATTGAGCGTGTTGATCCATTCCTCCATCTCTGCCTCGCTGTCTGCAGCCAGCAGGTAGGTGCTCTTATCCTGCATCTTAAGCTCGAAAGCAAACCTTCGAACCTTGTTGTTCTGCAGAGACGGCATGGGGGGGTGGGGGGTAAAAAGGAAGGAAAGAGTTGTAGACAGTGCAGATAAAAACTTATTGAACATTGCAAAACAAGCGTTCAATCATTAGTTATTATTCATCTCTGGCTCTCTTCCACAGTGTGTTTTGTGTCCCGTCTTCCTCGCCTCACCCCCATCTGTCGTAGCAGATGGCTCCCCCTCTTTGAGCCTGACTCTGCTGGAGGTATCTTCCTGTTAAATGGGAGTTTTTCCCTCCCACTGTCACCGAATGCTTGCTCATGAGGGGTCATTTGATTGTTGGGGTTTTCTCTGTATTATGATAGAGTCTCTACCATGTAACATAAACCACCTTGAGACTACTGTTGTGATTTTGAGCTATATAAATAAAAATGTATTAAACTGAATTTAAATTATAACAATAGAAAAATAAAAGACCTGTTATTACTGAATAGATTGGATTAGTGGAATCTCATACAGACAGAGTGAGTTTAATTTTTCACTTTTAAACATCAAACATCCAGTAGAGAACATAGTGAACATGGCAGAAGGGATGTTTCACCCCCCTCTGAAGAGAGCACGGCCCCGTGAGGCAGTAGTTGCTCTTATTCCACCATCACCCTCACTTCATTGTAATCTATGGTTAAAACCTTCAAAAACAAAGATCTGGTATATATTTGAATATTGAGTCCAAGTTTGGTAAACATGTAAGCATCTAAACTCAGATTGAATTTAAATGCTGCAGTGAGCAAATGGGAGGAACGTGAGTTAGGCAGGGACGAAGCATTTACATCTGGATAACAAAGCCCTTCTGCCAGTGATGACCTCAAAACAGCTACGAAGGCTGATGCCACTGCCTCATTTGGGCTTTCGTGTTATTCTATTAAAGCCCATTCAGAACCAATGAGGGCTGACTGAGCTGCAGTTTGTCTATGACTCAGCGACTCTGAGGTCTGATGCTTATTAGGGTACTTTAATAAACGACTCCAGAAGAATTTGTTGTAGAGAAATAGAGGAGACATTTTATTATTGTCAACAGTCACTGGATTGTGTTATGGTGGTTATCTCTGCAGCTTGCCTGCAATGTAGTGGGAGTGACTGGGAGGGAGAGACAATATCTGCAGACTAGCTGAGTAAACACAGAGATGGGTGTTTGGGACAAGAATAAAACCAGAGTCCTGATAAAGAGACTTAACCAGTGTCATCACCTGAGGTCGGAGACTCAACTCAGGGAAACTGACTTGTCGGTCCTTAAAATTATTCCTACAGCACTGTATCTGTATCCTTACTTTAAAGAGTAAGAAAGAAGAGAGGAGAAAGGAAAACTTTTGGAAAACTGAGTCATAGAACACTTAACATTTTTTAGCTGTTTGTTATTACAAAGAGAGTGCTGGTCAGTTGATATATGACAAATGCAGTGTGTGTTTGACTGTATTTTGGCGTCTTTGCAAAGTGGAGGACCAGCTTGAGGCTCAGCTTGAAGCCTCTCTAGCATCTCTAAGCTGCAGCGTTAAAAAAAAACTGCAGTTATACTCATGGAGCAACTTCATCTGGGCCAGCTTAAATCATTAAACAAGGAAAAGCAGTTTAGTTTTAATATTCATTCAAGTGAACCTATTGTAGTCATTATTTCTGGTCATACTTGGCCTTGAAGCCCCTCGGTTCATCCAATGTGTGGAAAAAAAAAATCACCCTTTTAGCTCCTCTCTCTTTAAGTCTCCACTCACCTAAGCCAGTTTTCTTCTGATTGGCTAACACTCGCGAACAGAAGACCACAAAATAACCGCAGTACTTAAATCACTCCCGTAAGACACATAAGGAAAAAGAATCAAATTAAATGTTCTTTATCACTGATTTATAATCTGGTCCCATTATATCTCAACTCTTGAGACCAGTTTGGAGTAGTCCACATCAACAACACTGAGTGTGTTGGATTTGTCGCTGAGGTTTTTAGTTACACAATGATTTCTAAAAAAATAGCCTCAAATGGTTTTTCTTTTTAATTACTGAGATTCTCTGTTAAAAATGAGCTCAGAAAGCTGGCAGTGATAGCTGCTGGACTGAGCCAGGAGCTGCAATTATATGAGCAGGGGTCTTTGGTTGAAAACTGGGCGACGTGGAGGTTCAGCAAACCCGAGGAATGGCACAGCCGCTATAACCCACACACATCTTGAAGCATTCAAATATCCTGCAGACTCCCTTCAGCTTACACTTGAGGTAACCCAGCCAGCTGGGTGCCTCAGAGGTAAAAAACAGGTTCTTTCCATCTGTTGACGCTGTAGATAGATGATAATGCATCCAGTGAGTGTTGGCCTACATTCAGCTGTTAGCACGTGGCATTGATTGTGAGGCTCGGGGAAAGTGCTTAGAACCGAGACCTCAGCATTCACCTTGTTTCAACAGCTGACAGTCAGCAGAAAAACACGACCTTGGGGTAGAGCGAGCTCAGGTTTCATAGAAGTGGAGAAGAGAAGCTCTCACGGGCTCACTTTTCAGCAGCAGCGCATCACTGTTAGAATAATTTCAGTTCGAATTTCGCCTGTTACAGATAGTGATTCATCCCGAATGCTGAGAAATAAATTTATACAGAAAACAACTGGAAAGAGGAAATCGTTATAATACCGGTTCATTCTGGGGAAACTGCGTTTTCCCCCAGGGGCCACAGTACCACATGTGCAGACAGGGATATCCCGTTTGGCAAAGCATGCAGGTCATCTTGGGTCAATGAGGTTTAGCAATCACTGCCTTAATGTACCTGAATCACACCCATACAGGAGTCCAAGAAAATAGTTCCTTTGGGCTCTTTGGAGATCTTCTCATCCTTGTAGAAGTTTAAGTTATAAGAACCATCTCCAAGTTGAGTCAAGTGGAAATATCTCCTCTTGAATGACTGAAAAAGAAGAAAGACAGGAAATAAGAATTATTTGTATGTCTTACAGCCTGCAAAAAGATAACTAAAACAGGTTAAACTGAACAGCAAGTGGTCATATGAAGGGGAAAAAAAACATGGAATAGTAAAATGAGGAGAACTTTCCTAAATGTGAAATAAACAACAAAGATGGCGTCATGTAACTTTGATCACGTTTAACTGAAAAAAAGCTTTGCTCATTTGGTTCAAAACATTTTGGGTGCCATGATATAAAACAAAGAAAAGAAACAGACCCCAACATTTGAAAAACTGGAACTAGTAAATGTTAAGAATTGCACAAAATCGATTACTTGAGTTGGAAAAAAAAAATCAAAAAAAAATCATACAGTCTATTAATGTGGTCTTTATTGCCACCTTACCCTCATGGTGACACTGATAGCACTGTTCATGTTTCCTTTATACAGCCAGCCCTGTTTAGTGATTCCACCTTTCTGGGAGCCTAAGGAGGCTGTGTCCTGCAGGAGACAAGGACACAAGATCAGACAATTACATAACACCAGAAGGATAATGCATACATCTTAACCAGCCATATAGATTTAAAATCTAGTCGTTTTCATAGCATATGCACAAATGTGCCAATTCAGGAATTAATTCATTTCACTTTTCTTTTTTGTGTGTGGTTGAAACAAGCTGCAGTAAATAAACATGGAGACAAAGTGCTCCAAACATACGCACACGCGCACACACACACACACACACACATATCATGTATACATTTCAAAACAATGTCTGATTTTATCTAAAGAAAAGTTCGTGTGACTTTATTTGGACATTTTTGCGGTGAAGCGGCATACAATAATATGTCACCAATTGCCCCACCCTGCCAAAGCTCTGTCTTGCTGTGCAGAAAGTCTTTGATCTTGTGGTCTGAGATGACACAGATCCCGGCACTATGTAGGACTTTCTCAGTCCAAACAACCAAGGCAGAAGAACATAAAACAAACTATGACTGTTAAACTAAATAAATATATCTCAGCTTTCATAGCAGATCTGTGACACATGGGCCCACTCATCTCAAACGTTCACGGAGGTTTGTATGAGATCACACAATCACCGCTCTCGTGATCTGTAAAAATAAACTAATTAGGGGCATAATGATGAAAGAGGAGATACGGCGGTCAAACTCTATAGTTTGGTCCAGGTTTATATCAGCCTTGCATATCATTTGCAGATACACTTTCCAAATTTGAAAGACTACAATGAGAAGAGCAAATGGGCTTTCAAGATGTTATCATTCGAGTCCGGCTTCTTCTCTCAGCCCAATAAGGCAAAAGGGATTTGCTTTATTGGGCGTTAGCAGGAATTATAATATTTTCAGTGTGGAAGTTTGTGAAGTGAGCTGAAAAGCACCTGGAAAGGTTCAGAGTCCCATTTCCACTAGTCAGTGTCTAGACAACATTTGCAGGTCTGCAAATAAGCAGTAAAGTCTCTGAGTTTAGGATCTCAGAACTCTCTTTGCCCGAGAAAACTTTGTCAAGGACATGATAAAAAAAAAAATCCCAACCCAAAAAGGCCACACTAAAAATCTACAGTCAGACAAAGTGCAGATAAACCACATTACACAGCTGATATTGAATGTGGTCTCAATGTACGGTTAGAACAGGCACAAAGATTTCTTTCGGGAAATTTACAGGAAGGCTTTATATCCTTTTCTCTCATGAGGAAATTCCCCATTTAAAAATATTCTGTAGTGCGGGTCGTGAAGGATGAGCCTTTCTATTGTGTTGAAGTCTTTCCCATCCTCCTTTCCCAGATTTTACTCTCTGGGGACTTGCACTTCTTTCAATCAAAGCTCCTTTTATTTAAAAGGGAGTTCTAGAAATCTTTCTAAAGATCATGTATTGTATTTCAGCTCCTATATTCTCTTGCCTATAGGAGGCACAGTTTGACATATTGTGCAATGAGGGCAGGTCAGGGTCTTCATCATACATCCTATAGAGCGGTTTGACCTTAACAATTGTATCTCTAACAGCTCCGCATTATCTTTAAGGCTTTGAAGACTCCCAACAAATCTGAGTGTCTGTCAGGTGACTTATGAGCCTCCTTGTTGTGAATTCCTCCCAGTCATTCCAAAGACAACAAGCACTTGTTTAATCTGTACAAGACTGCACACCCACTCTGTCATACATGAATTAGCAGAGGATAAAAAGGTCCAAATGTTGCACTGGAGCCCTTAAATTTCAATGTGAAACAAAATACATGGTGCACGTGCAACGCTGTAATTACTGTTAACTCACCTATTAGACACAAAAATGCCTTTTATCGCCGTACAATAAAAACATGAAAGGCGTAAGTGGGGATAAGTGAAATTTAACAGTGCACAACATTTTTGATGGTGAGGTTCATGTCATCAAGAGGAATCAAGAAACTCAATTGTGCGAAAAACTAAAAACTAACACGAACTCTTATTTAAAGGAACAGTTCACACCCAAATTAAATGCTGGGATTTTCCCCCCTCTCTCTGGCACGCAGTGCCATTTATCCATCTAGTTTTTTTCCCCTGTCAGTTGCCAAGTTTCACAAGGAATTGAAGAACTATGTTAAATATAATAGAATTAAATGACAACTAAACTCAGCTTTTTCAAAATCATGATCCAGTTAATCAAAAAGTCCACAAACTTTGTTAAGAGCAGTTCCTGAGCTATTTTATCTCTTTTTACTGCAACCTTGTTACTGTGCAGAAGGAAACCTGAATCTATCAACAGACTTTCACTAGTGGCATTACAAACATTAATGGAGCTCTGTTCTGCACATTGACACACTGGATGTAGTTTGGTATCAAACACACATTTTATTTTTTCCTTTTTTTTTTTAAAGGTACCTTGCTAGTACTGGGTTCGATCCTCTGTTACCTTCAGAGTTGCCTTAATTCTTCATGGGATAGATTCAATAATGTTCCCTGAGAACTAGTCCATGTTTACATGATAGCATCACAGAGTTACTGGATGCACATCCATGATGCTCTGTTGGATTGTGATCGTTTGACTGCGGAGGCCGTTTGAATACAGTCAACTCGTTGTCATCTTCAAGAAACTAGTTTGAGAAGATTTGAGCTTTGTGTCATGCTGGAAGCGGCCATCAGAACATGGATACTACGTGTTATATGTGGCAAAATGGATCCACGCTTTCATGTTTCAAATTCTGATCCCACCTTCCAAACGTTGCAGCAGAAACTGAGACTCATCTTATCGGCAACAACAAGATTAAGCCAGTGTGAACTCTAAGTGTGAACAGTTTCCTGTGTGTAGATGACAGGAGTGGTGACTCGTGTGGTCTTCTGCAGCTGTACTCCTTCAGTGTGTTGCGCTTTTAGAAATGCTCCTCTGCATACCTTGGTTTAGATGAACGGCTACTTGAGTTTCTTTTTCCTTCTTATCAGTTCAAATCAGTCTGGCCACTCTCCTGTGACCCACAGAATTTCTGCACACTGAATATTTTCTTTTTTCTGACCATTCTCTTTAAACCCGAGAGACTGTTGTTAAAAAAAAAATCAAATCCCAGCATATCAGCATTTTCTGAAATATTCAGACCCGCCCGTCTGGTACCAACAACTATGCCACCTTCAAAGTCACTTAAGTCACCTTTCTGCTCTTATTCCAAAGCTTGGATTAAACTTCAACAAGTCATTTGGAGCATCTTTACATTCCTAAATGGTCATGTGATGTCATACGATTGGCTGAATAGATATCTGCATTAATGAGCAATTGAACAGGTGTATCTAATAAAGTGGCTAAAACTCCTCATAACAATGTTTGTGCATTATTTATACATTTTTAAGTTTTAAGTGCTGTTTTGGTCTTTTGATGGTTAAATAAGCACAATCAGGGAGAGGTCAAATATACACATTTGATTTTTTTCACTTTGAAAGTGTCCCTAAGTTACAGTACGTGAAACTTTAGGCACCCTAGAAACTAAAAATAAGCAATGGGTGTTTCTTCACACTGTCCATATCTTCTGACAAAGAACTCACCTCATCTTTGTCGACATCTTCATCCACTTCAAATACATGGACAGCCAATTTATCAGGCCTGGACACTTTACTGGAAAAACCCAAATACAGTGTAAGTATAATAGCTCAAGGGGAGATATGTCAAGTGAATCTATTCATCACAACAACAAAAGACTGCAGGTTTTTCATACGCACACAGAGCACTATAGACAGCTTACGATGGCTCTTTCATGGCTTTGCTAATCTATCCAGCATGTGTGACTGAAGCGGTTTGGTGAGATCATTCTAATTTTTTTTCTTCCCTATTTTTTATAATAAGTCATTTTACATTTTGAGGCTTTCTCAAGAGGAGCACAAACGACTTTTCGGCTCCTCGTGGAAACACAACGCACACACAGCTTGCTGGAAAATGAGCAGGTGCCAAAAGGTGAGAATCACCATCTAAAAATACTGTTAATTTTTTAAACTGGCGACCGACGTCACGATGCATTGTTTCAACTTCCCCAGATTCAGTAAAGTGACAGAACATTTGGCAGCAGTTGTACCAACAAGGTCACTGTCAGCTCATTTTCTAACACGCTGGTTATAAAATAAGGATTCTTTACGGGAGAAGCTGGAGGTGATGACACAATCTCTAAACAATGAGGGTGGTTTCCACACTGGTTGCGTTCAGAAATTGCTCAATGCATTAGGAAAAGGAAACAGTCTTTTAAATGTGTGCAATAGTTATTTGTATGCTGTGTTTCCTTCTAATTGAGTCACGCAACTTGTCCGACACAGAAAACTGAATAGGCGACAGCTTGCGTGTGTGATCGGGCTAAAAAAAAACCCAAAACTGTGTTACTACAGGATTTAGCTTTAAACCGGCTGTATAGCATAGCAATTCTTATTAACCCCTCTCCTCGACTCCTCGACGATTTTTTAACTATAGACTTACTTTGGAAGCTGTCGGAAGTCCCCTGAATAGTCCTCATACTTGTAGTTGACCACATGCCAGTCTGACTTGTAGGTCTTAATGCACTGAGGAGACAACAGAAATTAATTACAGACCACTGTAGCACTGCAATGACACAGTGAGGTAGCAATTGAGGGCTATGTGAAGGCTGGAACTGCGTGTCATTCAGTCACCTCTAAATGTGTTTCCATTTTCTCATCTCAACATGCTACATGAAGCTAATATACCACTAGGATCATCACTTTGATAAAGCTGAAGAAACTGTCGAACCATCTGATGAGAATTTGAGGCTTAGGATGTGAGTCCGTGTAATCAGAATTGCTGGTGAGATGGTTAACAGATTTAGAAAGCCCTGCTCTTACTTAGTTCAGTGCTGCACGGTTTTAGTAGCTTAGTAACAAATAGATGCTTCACAAAGATTTTTGACAGTGACTTCTTTTCAAATCCTTATGACCTAAAAGTCTTTTATAAGTTCCCGTAAGCAACTCACTAGCATACACATTAGGACAATATTTAATATTTTCAACCATTAAAGCTTCTCCTTGAGATAAAAAAGGAGGAGTGTATGCACGGTGACTCTGCCACAATCCAACGTCCACCAACACAAATTGGGAGTGTTTCGCTGTCCTCCTTTCCTTGGAAAGAAAACATCTGTTCATTGTTAGAGTCAGTCATAAGTGCAGCTCCCTGGTATCTGTTCTACAGAAACTCACGCCATTTACAAGAACTGCTCCTGCAGGGAGATGAAATGCAACCTGATCAGGAGGCGAATCGGAAACAGAGAGGCTCTCACTGGGCTAATCTCCACAGCTGTCCTGGTGATGTCACACAGCGCTTAACCAGGTGTCAGTATCTTGACTTCAGACAAGGCGCTCTAAATGCTGACCTTTGACCCGGAGGGAGAACTGTCGGTTTTCAGCTGATGTGTGGCTTAAAAAGCTCTGCTAGAGCTGGATGATTATGATTCATTGTTTTAATCAGCACCAACCGTGAGTTACTGATAAGTATATTTTTAATTAATCCTGCACTACATCAATAAAATGTCACATCTGGTAAACTTCCTGTGATTTTATTTGCTTTTTGCCCTTTTGGACTTTCAAGATGCCACAGCTGACCAAAACCAGGCTGGACCACTCAACAGCAAGACATGATCAAGGTTCAGCACTGACGGTAATAACTAATGATAGGAAATAAGCAGAAGCTTGATAAATTATCAAATTAGTCGAACTTAATTTCAGTGTATTGTACCATAAATAGATTTTACTGAGAAAAAAGGGCACAAATAGTCCCGATGCTTCCAATGAAGATCTATAACGAGGCTCCTTGATGACTTCCTGATGCGCTATGACTTGCAACATTCATAACTGATAATATTAGGTAATATATTTGGTAATGAGCCAAATTAGCATTACTGTAGCATAGCTCTGTGGTTTATGACTGATATAATTGACCAAGTTCTTACTAGCCTGAAGCGCTGACGCCGTTTTCAAACGTCTATCATGAAAAAGATACATATACAATCATATTAAGTGTACTTACTTACTTTGTGCATAATAGAAACATTTGTTTTGCAAATGAACTTTGGTGTGCTTTACATGCCTTTTGGACCATTACTGTCAACAGGCATGAAAGGAATCTCTCTCAATATAATATACTAGCATATATCCATGGTACAGTACTGTTTTTAGTCTGTTTGTTAATGGTTGCAAAGCTTCATAATCTGTTATCATAACATGTGAGACATAATTCAAGTTTTGTGGATATAAACGGGTCATTTTAGTCTTTTTTCAGGTGGTTGCTAGGTAACATAATGATGTCATCATGTCTGATATAAATAAGAACCTTCAGGGGCCTGAGATGTCCTTGTGTGCCAATTTTGGTTGCTCAACTTTTGATTGTGTAAGAGTTTGGATGGAAACAGAAAGAGATTTCATGTATTATCATGTAAGATGATTTAATTGGCTCTACTTGGTCTTAGAGTCTATTCCACTATTAAATGTTGTCAGTGGTTCAGTTTTTTGGGATTATTACCCCCAATTATTTCCAATATTTGGATTCAATTATTTCACTGTGTCTTCCTGCAGGCTCTCTGTGAGTGAAAGTCCTTCAAAAAATATCTTAAAAATCAGCCCACCTCTTGGACGAACAGACTCTGGGCCTCCCTCTCTGCATTTTCAGGCACTGTGGGGTACAGGGTTCTCCCTTGTCTCCTCAAAGTTGAAATCTGCGAAAACAAAGCAATGTTTAAATCGTCAGAAGAAACGTAACTGTGAGATTACAGCAGACCACAAAGGATGACCAAAACTGAAACTGAAAAAAAAAAGTGTGCTTTCACTTGAAATGGTCTTGTGAAATGACCATGGGTTATCTGGGGTTCAAAGTGTGCAAGTAAGTCAGAGACACAGTGGGATGCCTGCCCACATCATCTGACTTTTAGGCCTACTGATGGATGTGTTTAAGCCTTTCGCTAATGACCAACAGGTTGACTCTGCAGACAGGCAATACAGTAGCAAAAATAATCAAGACCCTGTAGTGTAATTAAAGTAAAAAGCCTTTTAATTTTATTTAAGCAAGACCAACACAGCCGCTTTTATTGATCACTAAGGATGCAAATTCTAGTGCTCGACAAACATCAGCATGCCAAAACGCTCAAAACGACAGCGCCAACATGTTGATTACTGTGACTTTCATGTCACTAGATCCTTGGCAGAGATGTAAAAATTATTTTAATAACCTGTGGAGATGTAATAAAGTAGTCAATTGACTATTGTGTGTAACAACTATGTAACTTTACATTAATTCACACTGATTAGAAAAAGCATTCTTTTTATTTTGGCTCTTGCGAAGCATCGGTGGAGTTATTCTACAAAAGCTCACTCTGAGCCAGGAAAAAAACCTGCTTTGGAGCAAGCAGTGTTGGATATGACTGAGGTTTCCAAAAATGAGTTTCCCAGTTGTTATAAGAATCTCAAGCTGGAGTCCTGGGTATACAGTATTCACGTTGGTTTACTGTATGATTTCTCCAAAGGTTGATTCTGTTCATCTGGACATAGCGGACGACGCTACGTCCAGTTGAACAGAATCAACTTTCTGAGATTTACTTTCCTGGATGATTGAGAATGCGTCAAGATACTGTATGATTTCTTTTTAGTAGCTTTATGGCCTTCAAAGAATATGCACCTCAAAGATCTGAAATCAGATTCATCTGATTTCATTAAAATGAAGCTACACAATGTGATAATCAGTCAAATGTGGTGTTTCGCAGTTACGGGATAAAAGAAGTTGTTTCACAAAAGCTTGTTTTTTTATCTGGAATGACCCCAAGACAAATACTAAAACTGCTGTCTTTGCCTCCCCTGTTGCCCTCTATAAACTTGCATGTGGTGTTAGAGCCAGTCCTTACTGTGTTAATGTCAACAAATTCCCCAGCTCTTAATTGTGAACCTTAAGTCTCCCTTTTCCTGTCTGCTACCCATGTTTCCTGCAGGGGAGATAATGATCTTTGCACTGAAAGAAGCAGAAATAAACAGGCATGGACGCAAGAGGCAACCAGGAAGTGGGCAAAAAGAAGCATTTATTGGACTACAAGTTGCTACAGAGAATTGTCAGATCCTCTGGTTTAAAATTCCCCAAATTGTTATGGGAGATGGACAAGTTCAATAAGACCCCATCAATATTTTATCTAAACTATCAATCTTCTTTATCCAAGCTGAGCTGGAGACAAGAACTTGACCACTTCCCAACAGCTCCGACAGACTGAAAAACAAGCAAAGCAGTGCTTGTGCAAATATGAGCTTGCCTTCATGTACGCCAGGTAAAATATTTACTTAGCAAGCTGATGAACTGTCCTTAACTAACACTCACTAGTAGTAAATACTAAATTATGCCAATGCTGACAGTTATGTCATTAGTTGTGCAAATATTTGGTATAGACTGCGTATAATGATTGATGGACAGCAAGTCTGAAAAGTGACACCAGTCCAGCAACGCCTTAAACCTGAATCTTTTCTAATGGCCAGTGGTAGCCAAACCTCCTTGTTGCTCACTTTACTTGGATTTTATACCGGCCCATGGGAAAGAAGGCCCTACCTCTCACTGGACTTTCATTCTGTTTAAAGTTCCCTTCAGTACAACATGATGTTCATTAGATACATTTAGGAACAAATGCAACCTGTAGCCAAATTCCTCCACAGAAATGAGGAATTTGGCTGCAAATTCCTCCACCTAGGATACTGTTCATTCCGTGGAATGGTTGACAGAGAATATCATATCGAACACTGGTGTTACCATAACCTTAGGGACACGGCAAAGTAAAGAAACAAGAACAATGCTCTGATCTGCAGATTTCACAGTGAAGGGGGGGCCTTAGACAACGTGCATATATCAAATTGAGGAGAAAGGAAGACTCCTATTCTGCTAATCTTGGACAAATTTCTCCAGGAACCTCACACAGAGAGACCAACCCAACCCTCCCTCCACTTTGCCAGCAGTATCTTGATCAAAAGCAGATGGAGCTGATATAAACATCGCCTACCAGAAGAACAGCTCATGACTTTTGATGAGCCAGAGGGAATAAGATAAGGTAGAGACTTGATAGAGGTTACCAATACCAGGAAACAGAAAAAAAAACTGGATTTATACAAAAATAACTCAGAGATAGAGGAGTTCTTTCTGCCTCGACTCATGACCTGTATACTTAGAAGTGTCTTTACGCAGACTGAGATTTTTACATAACACTCACTGGTCATACACTGACACAACTCCCCCAAAACACTGAAAGCTGATTACAACCTTGCCTGAACAAGAGTCTGAACAGGCAGAAACAGATGTTAAGATCAGTCACTGAGCCTCCCGTGTTTTTTTTTTAACGCCCCCCTCAGTCAGAATCACCTGTCAGCCCCTGACAACGTACTGTTTGTGTGTGAAGCTGGCATGTTATGCTCATAGCAGCAGGCTATACGTGGATATGCATGAGAAGTCAGAGTCAAGGCTGTCCTGCCGTCACCAAGCACCCAGCTGCCAGGCCTTACAAACCGTAACAACTGCTTCTCTATCCAGAGTCAATTCCAAAGTTAGAAACACCAAGCAGACCTGCTGCTTTCATTTATATTCGAATCATTAAAACTGTGGCTCTACACACCAGTGACAAGGAATTATTTAAAGGTTATTTTCCCCAGATAGACCCAAGTCCCCATTAACATCCAAACAGCAACTTTGGCAGGTTTGTGGGAAGGCTGATCTCACATGCGAAGATCAACCCATGTAACTTAAATCAAGTTCTGTTTGAGCATTTGAAAAAACAGATTATTTCTAAAAGTGTTCATATATGGTTGCAATGATTCTCCAAATCCACAGGTTGGGTCATAACTAAATCTTTAGCCAATGACTTATAACTATTATAATAGTGATTAGTAAGAAGTTTATGACAGCATGATGATGTAACCATCAACCAACCACTGGATCATCACCTAAAAATAAAAATCTGTTATTCTGATGTATTTCCAGTTCACTCTTCATTTAAGCAGTCATGTTAAGCAGGGCATTCATTACATCACACAAAACACTATGAAGCCATCACTAAAATACCATTAATCATCCTATATTTGCAATCTTGCTTAAAAAAAAGAAATACATCAAAATAAAACATGCTATTCATAAAGACTGAATTTCACCACAAAGCTCAGTAAAGAAGCCTTTAGGATCCCTGCAGTTGGCAATTACACATCATTTACAGAGAATGCATCCTTGCTTTGACAAAAAATACATTAAAAATAAAAATAATTCTGAGCATGTATTGGTGTTAAAAAGCCGTACTCATTATGCTAATGACTTGAAATGTCACAGTCATTTGGGGCATTTTGCACCAACATCTGAAGGAAGAAAGAGCTATTAAAGGCTGAAGCGATTTATAGATGCACTACAAACTGACTATGGGAGGCTTATGTTTCACAGTGAAGGTGGCAAAGAGAGCTGGGCATCAAACATTTTGCCCTCAAATTTTGTGATTTCACCTATGTCTTAGGTAAGGACTCATGATCCGATTAAGATTTGGTGGAGCAGAGAAAATCTCCATCTAACTGTCAGGAAACTCCTAAGTGACCAGGAGTTCAGCACTCACACTTGGTACACAGTATACCTACTACATCTCTGCCAATTAGTTTTTATTTATTATGGATATTATGAATTAACATGTTGCCTAGCAACCATCTACTAGACGTTTACAGACTTTGAGTGTCATGAGCCGGTCCGTTTCATGCAACACGTGGACAGCAATGCAGGCGAATAGTCACGCTCACATTCACAGCCAAATGCAAACACATTTCTTCCACTAATATGTCACTAGCTTGGAAAGATTTCACTGTGATTTGAAGCACAAAGTTCACCAAAGTAAACAGTGGTTGAATGGACATTAGAATGTCTGGACAACAAACCCTGTCGAATTAACAACACTTAACCCAACTGAACGTGGATATTAAAAGGAATCCAAACAAAGAAAAGTGGACAAATCTAAAACTCTACAGTGTTCAGAGCCAGCCACAAATCAGCAGCCTCGGTATCAGCAAAGGACCAAAGCAGTTACGGAAAAGTACGGAGACAAGTGAAAAAGAAAAAAAGGGATGATGTCCTCTTATCTGCTAAACAAACAAACAAACAAAAAAGCAAGGTACCGGCCAATTAAACTGCAATCCTAGTATCTCGAACTAAAATGGGCCATTTTTACCATTTATGCACAAATAACAACTTAGAAAAGTGTTGTATAATTTTCATTACATTACAGTACTACCTAATTCATATCCACATTCAATTCAATTTAAACAGCGCCAAATCACAGCAACAGTTACCTCAAGGTGCTTTATAATGTAAGGTAGATCCAACAATAATGCATACATAGAAAAACCCAACAATCGTATGACCCCCTATGAGCAAGCACTTTGGCAACAGTGGGAAGGAAGAACTCTCTTTTAACAGGAAGAAACCTCCGGCAGAACCAGGCTCAGGGAGGGGCGGCCCTCTGCCGTCACTGGCTGAGGAGACAGAAACTTTGTTATTATATGTAGCCGGGGGGGATTCATTTTCCCAGTGGGCCACAAGACAAACTGGGACTGAGATGAAACTGAAATGGAACAAAACTGAGTTTATATCACTGATGTGTCCCTGCACAACAATCCCAGGTTATTGTGTGGCCCGTTATCTGGCAACCACCTAACAACAGACTAAAATGACATTCACAGTGAAGAAGACCCACAAAAATGCCCCAGTTTTTATACTCTTAAAGGGATTTGGACAATGGATGGTATAAATCTTATATTTATTCATATAAACAAGAACTACCATATTTTTTTCTTTACTTTCCTCAGTGTGATTAACTATATCAGTTTGCCAACAGCATGAACAGACCCAGTAATACTGTAGCATAGGTGTGTACTGATATCCGAAACACATGAAATAGCATGTTTGTCTTTTATTCTCACTGCATCAATTTGGTGGTATAGTGTTGATAATAAAGGACCAACTCCACTAGCATCAAATTAGAGCCAATTCCTGATGTAATGCCAAAACATTCCAAAATTTTCCAGGTGAAACTTGTACTTTGCAGTTCCCGTTACAGGAGAGGATGTTGACACAAATAGATTTCTGACTGTAACTCTTTGGATCAGAGCAATCTGAATGACCCGTACATCCTGAGGAATACACATACCATTTACAACTCTGTAACTGTATTCTTCAACCAATTTGGGAATTCAGACAAAAGATGTTAAAGTTATTAGACAAACCCAAAAAAAGACTTCCCTTACTGGAGTGGAGTTATATTAAAGGCCCAGACTCTATAAAGCTTTGACAGAAATGTGAGACAAAGTGGTAGGGTTAGATCTGAGGATATACTAACATCCTTCAAAGAAGTCTCATTTCCTGAAGTACCAGCTCTGGGCCAGATCTCCATTTTAGATTTTCCAGCCGCAGCGTGGAAAGTGTGAGGGACGCACATCCTGCACGGTGTGGCTGGAGATAACACTTACTCTGTCACAACATGGGACACAGAATGAGCCAATTAAACAGATGGCCCCTGACCCATCTCTTGCTGCAGCAGAGGAGATATAAACAAAAGGAAAGCCTTTGTCAGTGGCTACACCCATCATCACAATAGTGGCCGCGCCTGGGCCGAAGGAAAAACCACTTCAAACAAACACGAAAAAGAAAACACGCAAGTGGACGAGTAAATATTAATATTGTATAGATACCAGTAAATGTAACGAGCTTGTGTGTTTAGCAGCAATACACAGGAGGACAGTTTAACTCCTGTCTGCCTGACTTTGCACCAGAAGTGTATAGCAACAACGGAAACCAGAGCACTAAAGATCTACACCACCATTTGCTATGGAACATTTTTCCATAGCTTCATAGCTGCTCCTCAGCAATTTAACCTCAGAGCCACATTTACTACAGTAAGACTCCCCATCTATACTTCTGCAAACATAGATGGCGAGTCTGCTGAAAAACGTGCATGAAAAGTTTAGACACTCACCTCAAAGTCCTCAAGGGGGAACTGCAGCATGTCTCTGAGGACATCGCTAAGGATCTGCGTCTTCCTCTGCACCAGCACATTTTCATAATCGAGCGGCTCGATCACCTTTGGTTTTACCTACAAAACACATAAACACACAGTTGTGGGTCAAACTACAAAACTAAAGCAAGTAACATGAAGGCACAGGAGAAGCTATCTGTGACGTTATTAGATGGATTCAGAAGAGAGATCAAGGAAACGAGTAACAATATGCAAACAATCAGGCATAATAAGATTACTGTTGGCATGCCAACCCCTCAGCATTGGAGAGTAAAAACCCATTAGCTCCTTTCAGTTTTCAGACCTTCATCACTTTCTCATCAACTAAATGAAACTTGACGACAGGCATAAATTGGTTTCAAAGGACATATCAATTTATTATTGCGTTTGTAGAGATGTAGAGATCAGATATAGGAGCAAACTTCTGAATAAAAACTGCCCATTTTTAGCACAGAATATTTAAAAAAAAAAAAAAAGACGTGCATGCACAAGTGTATTCGGTGCGAGCAAAGAAAAGACTTTCAAACAAAGGCAGTTTGGTGTGTGGTTAACCTATGTGATGATGCTTACACTTACATAGTGGGGGATCTTGATGATTAAGCAACAAAATAAAAAACAAAGCTGGTAAACCATAACTAACAGGAATGCACTTTAAATAAGCATGTGCAGGAGAAGAGATCACAGTCAACAGACTTGGATTTATCCAGCCGTGTGACAGGGCACAATAGGACATGTTTTCTGTTAGATGCACAGTGACAAGTCAATCAGGGCTCCATCTGCCCAGAGAAAGTGCATCTGCTTCAAGGATAAGGAGGGTCTCAATGAGCTCAACTCTTTACGATGGCACACATCATACTACACTCCATCTGGACAACATACAGGACATTGTAATTTTTGAATACGACATAAAGCAATGAGGGTCTTTAACTAGAAATCAGTCTACCAATGTTTTGTTTTGTAGTTAGTTTTAAAGAGCAGATTTTTTGGTTTATTGTCATAGTTCCTGCTGAAGCAGGTTAGAGTGCTGACCCACTCTACACCCCCAAGGAGAAAGCCTATAAGTCGCAGGAGGATTCAATGGCCACCGGACAGAACGCAAGCTGTCAGCGCTTTTATCTGTTGGGATGGGAGGATAAATCTAAGTGAAAAACAAGCAGTGACAGATCAGCAGACTTCAGGACTGAGCGACAGCACTGCTCACTCATTCCTTCTACATCTGGGACTGATAATGTTAGCATGATCTCAGACGGGGGAGTCATGCATGTAGACCTGCCTGAATCTATGCTGCTGTGTAGTAACCTTTGTTAATAACAGAGTAGAGCGAGGACAGAGGGGGCAGGACCTTGTATCAGTTTCAAGGACAGGGAGGGAATAGGAGAGCAGAGATGGTGCCACCATGTCTGTCAGCTGAAGCAGGTTGTGACATACCAGACAACTTGTTCTTCACGTTTTATTTAAACACAAATATACAATTATCTGCAGTTGAACTTCAACAAACTGCGCTCCCCTGAGAAGAGAAAAAAACTGATGGATGAAGAGATTTCTAGATTTAAGCCAGGAAAGAATTTATGGAAAGATAAGATAAATACGCGTATGTCTTACTTAATCCGACGCCTAAAATCTCCATATCTCCGCAAACAATCTGAGAGCCTCCAGAAGATACTGAAGTCTTAAGAATGTCAGGCAAACACACCTATACTGTCATTATTAAGCAATGACCTGGGAAAAAAACCCAAAACACAATGAATCAGGTTTGACTAAACCAAACACCTGCAAGGGATACTCTGGAGCAGAGGGGTCATTCTACTTAATAGGCAACAAATGGCCTGATCTGATCTTACATGAGTAAAATCAATATACAATAAGCTATTTAATAGCAAAACAAACTAAAATTTCCCTTTTTCTAAAGTGAAAATGGAACATAAGCACATTCTGACAGTGTTTATATATGATGAGCAATCTTAGAAAACAAATGATGAGCAGGCAAGAGACGTAAATCCAATTTTAACAGTGTGATCATGGTAAAAAAGAAAAAAGAAAAAAAAAATACACCCTCTTTCAAGTCTGAGGTTTTACCATGTCACCATGTTAGTCTTTGTTTTTGTTTTTTGCTAAATAAAGCAAAACCTTGTGACAAACTAAAGATACCCTTAGTGCTTCAACATGAAATAACAAGGTCAGTAGCAGCCAGGTCCTGCTGCTCAAATGCACTCCATTGTTAGCAAGTGAGAGCACCTCTATAAAAGCAGAAGTTTTGGCAGTTTGTTGATTTGAACCATTTCGATGTGTTAACACAATGCCAAGAAAATAAAATCAAGGTGTTGTAGTCAAAGTCTAGACCTTAAGCAAGCTGTGGAAAAACATTTTTCAATTTCCATGTGCCACTCCTATCACAGTGATGTCATCACCACACCAGGACTGTTTGTCAGGGAAGTTCTGCCATAAGTTTGAGACTTTAGGAATGGAGGGTTTAAGCTAGTACAGAAAAAGTGAACAAGTGAGCAATCTGAGGCTGAAAGATGCCATAAACAAACCAAATATATACTAGAAATAACCTAATGAAGCCTCTGCTGTATGGTCAAAACCAAGCTAGTAAAGATGTGGTAGTAACTACATTTAAATAAAGTATGTGCTGAAAAATTTGACCCCGTTTTAGTGATGGTGCCCCTTTTCTCACCAGTAATGGATATCTGAACCCACTCAAGTGCTGCTGATTCCCTCCAAACTCCTCTGGGTGCCTCCACATTGCTTTGTCAGTGACCCAAAGTGGTCAACCACACAGTGCACTCAGCACTGTGTGGTTGACTGAGCTCTGTCATTCTCTCAACCCACAGTGCTGACCAGAGTCGATACATAGCCCCAGATTCACACTGTCTTATTGTCAAATTAGTCCTTTAAGAAGGTATTTGAAATCACCTGTTGAACAAATGCCTTCAAGACTAACGGTAACGTTTCACTGTCAATCAGAAAATACTGAAGCTCCAGTTATATTTCTTGGTTGTCTACACACCCAAGCAGAAACGTGCAGACTATATATTCCACAGCTGTAAACTCAAGTCAGCAAACAGGCGAGCCAACCCTGTAAGAACAGAAAGTAGACGCCCATGAAGCCATCCCTTCCACTCCCTCTCTACAGCGATCGGGCAGCTGTTTATCTGCATCTCCCACTCCTCCACATCACTGCACCCTCACGCAGCCTGAAACAATGGTGCTGCGTAGTGCCTCTCAATCTTGTCACTGACTGTTTGGTTGACTTTCCAGAGGGCCTGACCACTGGACACCTTCGTTAAAAGGGCAGGAAATGATCACTGTCGCGGTGGCTGACTTTTGCGCCAAATAAAACATTTTACGAGCCAAAGCAATCTTTGAGAATAAAGTCGAGGGACCTGCGATGTATTCGCCCAGGTAGTAAAGTGCTAATAAAGTTCAACCTTCCCCCGTGCTGGTGCTAACACTGCAAATTTGAAATGTGAGCTGGCAGCACTGTTTCTATGAAAGGAGGCGAGAGAGTGAACCAGCACAAATGCTCACATGACACCTGCTTTTGGCACTTTATGGCTGAGGTTAACCTTTACACCACTTACTTTCTCGAGGATCAGAGCAAATTTGAGACGTCAGTACTGATTTTTTTTTTACATTTACATATTTTTTTTAAAATGTAAACCAAAAAGTCTTACATCTCTATGTGAATTACTTGAATGACTTACCACCACCTGTGGCACTGGATCTACCTCAGGCTCAGCTGCAACCAACCTCTTGTACTGCTGTGGACTCTCAATGACCAGCTCCTTTTTTGGAGTTTTACTAGCCCTTCCTTGCATTGTCAACACTTGTGGTAAGATATTTCCAAGCCAGATCCCAAAGAGAAGTCGCAAGCCAGCATATCAGGTAGAGAAAAATCTTTGTACTGGAAAAAGTTTGTATATCTCCCTTTTCAGTCCCTAGCTCACTCCAAGCTACGGCTGCTCTGACTGAAAGCAGTGGACTCACACCCAGGCTGAGGAGATGGCCCCTCCTACACCCAGCTGTGCAGCCTGGGGGAGTTAAACACCCTCTCACCCACACACACACACACATACAATGAAGCTATATGACCCCACACTATCCACCTGCACAGCAACAAAGGGTTAAGAAAAGAAAAGATACACATTCCTCGAGAATTACAGTGTGGTCAGGCACAATCCACGCCTTATGTGGGACAGCTGAAATAAGAGCTGGGTTCAAATTCATCAAAAAAAAAAAAA